AGATGGAATAGAATAGAAGATGGAGTAGAGTAGAGTAGAGTAGAGTACAGTAGAATAGAATAGAATAGAATAGAATAGAATAGAATAAAATAGAATAGAATAGAATAGAATAGAATAGAATAGAATAGAATAGAATTCTTTATTGGCCAAGCGTGATTGGACACACAAGGAATTTGTCTTGGTATATATTTGCAAGTAGTCCTCAACTTACAACAGTTTGTTTAGCGATAGATCAAGGTTACAACTGCACTGAAAGAAGTGACTTATGACCGTTTTCACAGCTACAACCTTTCCAGCATTCCCACCATCATGTAAACAAAATTCGGATGCTAGGCAACTGACTTCTATTTATGACCGTTGCTGCATCCCTGTGTCATCTGATTCCCTTTTGTGACCTTCTGACCAGCAAAGTCAGCGGGGAAAACCAGATTCATTTAACAACCGTGTTGCTAACTTAGCAACTGTAGTGATTCACTTAGCAACAGAGGCAAGAAAAAAAATGGGACAAAATTCACTTAACAAATGTCTCACCTAACCACAGAAATTTTGGGCTCCATTGTGGTCATAGCTGAGGACTACCTGTATATAGAAACATGCTGCTTGATGAATGTACAATTCCACCCTCCATAACTGAGATGCAAAATGAAAACTTTCCTAGGCTGTTCATTTGGCTCCTTCACTTTCAGTTGGATTTATGTCTTGGCCCTATTGTTTTGCCACTCCGGGGTGACAGTTGGTGTTGTTGTCATTGTTCAGTTCTGGAATTTTTGCAACAGGCCAGAAACAGAGAGGAAATCGATCCAGAGAATAGTAAAAAAAAAAAAAAAGCTTTTACCAAATAAGCCACTAATGGTCTGTGGATATAAAAATGCAGTAATGGCATAAATGTTGTATGTTCTGGGTACATCTTAATGTAAAAGCCAAAATATAAAAGTATCAATCAGGGGACTGTCTGGTAACGCTCTGAATAATATTTCTTCCAGCGCCTTGCTCTTGAATTCCGTAATGTCTGCCTTCAGAGCTGAATTTATTGCTGCAAGAGCGATGGATTTTATTGGCATGATCAAAGAGTGTGATGAATCGGGGTTCCCCAAGGTAAATTCATCTGCATCCTCCCTACTCAAACTCTTTTATTGTTGTCGGCCACTTCTGTCTCCCCAAATAATTCCCTTAAATGTGCATTGTAGTTTTTTGCTCCAATACCATTGGCTCAAAAATCTTTTGAGGATATGGACTTGACCTCTTCATAGATGTTCTTTTGATAATAGCTGGTTCTGTCTGGGGAACAACAGAATAATAGAGTTGGAAGGGACCTTTTCTAGTGTCCAGTCCTGTGCTCAGGAAACCTTAGACCATTCTGGACAAATGGCTGCCCAACCTCTACTTTAAAACCTCCAGTAATGGAGCAATCACCACTTCCGGAGGCAAAGCTGTTCCATTGGTTGATTGTTCTTGCTGTCAGGAAATGTCTCCTTAGTTCTAAGTTGCTTCTCTCCTTGATTAGTTTCCATCCATTGTTTCTTGTCCTGCCTTCTAGTGCTTTAGAGCAAAGGTCTCCAAACTTGGCAACTTTAAGACATGTGGACTTCAACTCCCAGAATTCTGGAAGTTGGTCCACAAGTCTTAAAGTTGCCAAGTTTGGGGACCCCTGCTTTAGAGAATAGGTCGACCCCCTCAGCATTCTCTGCGTGATCCACTGTGCTTGTAATAGTTAATTAGTAGATTTAAAAACCTGATTTTTAAAAGCATTTGCCCACAAAGAAGGAACGCCTCTTCCGGGGTTTTGCTTATGCATCAAAGGTCTGCCTCATTTTTTAGGAAGTTGCTGCTTTTTAAATTAAAAAATAAAATAAAAAATTAAGCCAATATTAATGAATTAAAAGCCATAAAAATGTAACCAAAGTTTCTTTCATCAAGGTAGCAAATTTTCCCCCCGGACTGTACTTCTGATCTCTCTCAAATCTTTTACAAATTAAAATACCTGTCTCTGTATTATTAATGTTATTTACTCAAGTGGGAACACTCACAGAGGCAGTAAAATGAACATGAACCTCATTTTATTTTCACAGCATCTTCTCTTCTGCTCCCTGGGACAAAACTTAGCCTTAGCTGACCCGCCGGAAAGTGACCGCCTTCAAATCTTAAATGAAGCCTGGAAAGTGATTACCAAGTTAAAGAATCCACAGGTGGGTGATTAGTAGAAGAAATTGCTCAACTTAGCTGGAGTGGGCAGATGGTTGAAATAAATGTACTGTAAATTAGAAATATTCTCTCTTAAATATATTGCCTAGCTCGGAGGGGAACATTTGAAATGTTGAGTGGGTGAGAGCTTCACACAAAGAATGGATGCAATTCCTCTGGTTCTCAGATTGACCACCCAGATGAGTGTATCCAGGTCCCAAATAACCATTTTCCAGAAAGAAAACTAGCTTGTTCTGTGCAACACTTTTGGTGGCGTGTTTCTGGGGCTCAAAGTCACAACGGAAAAATCAGTGTCCCGTTGCCGTTGAGGAGACGTACACCAAGATTTTATAACCTCCCATCAGCTACTGGAAGCCTCTGGGGGACTCTTAGGCCAGTCCTTCTCTCTCACCCCCCACAGGAGTGTTGTGGTGGAGAAAAACAGGAGTTGACGTACAATCATTGTTCATTTAAACCAGGGGTGTCAAACTCAATTTCATTGAGGGCCGCATCAGCGTTGTGTTTGACCTTGGGGGGCTGGGGGTGTGGTGGCCCGAGCACTCTTCCAGCAAAAAATGGGCTCCCAAGTTCCGTTTTGTGTTGTGACAGATTCTTGCAACCCCCTGCCAGTGAAAACGGAGCTCGGGAGGGCCACCCGTTTTCGCTGGAAAGGCACTGCGGGCCAGTCCTTTGTTGTTTCCAGGGCGGCCCTGTGGGCCAGATCTAACAATCCCCACCCGGGCCTTGAGTTTGACACCCCTGATTTAGACTATTTAGACCAGGGGTCTCAAACACAATTTACCTGGGGGCCACTGGAGGCAGAGGCTGGGTGAGGCTGGGCCGCACATAGACGTGTTTAGCCAGCTAGCGACGCATGGAGAACGCACTAATGTTATACTTTCATATCACGGTGGGGGCCACAGGATATCGTCCTGCGGGCCGCGAGAATGAGACCTCTGATTTAGACAGTGATTAATTTAACAACCACGGCAAGAAAGATCGTAAAACGGGGCAAAATTCACTTAGCAACTGTCTGGCTTAGCAACGGAAATGGTGGGATCGATTGTGGTTGTAAGTCGAGGTGGCATGCCATCTCAAGCTCTTGAAGAAAGGGAGGGATACAAATAGCAATCACATTTAGACTTGCATATGCAGCATAAGGCTTTCCTGCACTCTCTGGGCAGTTTCCAATGTGAGCATTATTTGCATCTTGCCCCCAACAATCTGGGTCCCTGTTTTACTGACCTTGGAAGGACGGAAGGCTGAGTCAACCTTGAGCTGGTCAGGATCGAACTCCAGGCTGCGGGGAGAGTTTGCCTGGAATACTCCACTTTAACCACTGTGCCACCGGGCTCCTAAATTTATTATAAATCTAATCAGTAGATGGACGCTCAGGGTATTTTGACCTTCCTTACTTAGAGAATCAGTTTAAACATGGAAAAAACAGGCTGGGTGGGTGAAAACCTGCCAAAGTGCCTTGAAATGTGACGCCCATGCATTTATTTTTAGGATTATATCAACTGTGCAGAAATCTGGATGGAATATACTTGTAGGCATTTTACGGTAGGTGAAGATTTAAGCGTTTCATATTTCAATATCTGTCCTTTTCTTTCTTGACTTTCTTCCCATCTTTATTTTAGTTCAGGGCATTTGCTTTTGTCATATTGGAAGGAGGTATGCCTGGTTTTTATTTATTTAGATGTTGCTCTCAGGCCGTGTTAATATCTCTTGGGAGTGTGAGAATGAATTATCTTAAAAATGCCACCTTGTGAACTTAACACACTTTGACACAGCACCCAAACAGTGGTCTCAAGAATGGGACAAAAGGGAATCAATCTTGAAATTCTAACAGTAATTGTTTTTTATAGTCTTTCCAGTGTGGTGGCCTATATTAACTTAGAAATATCAGCAGCAGTATACTATCATTATTATATCCGCACAGCACTGTATCCAGCCCCGAAACATGAGCATTCTC